TGATTAGGGTAATGCATGGACACAAAGGATTGATAGGGTACACACCTTGGCAGGTGTAACACTGCTGGCCGCCCGCAGCCTTCGGTCTTTGGTGCAGTGCTCAATATGATTGGCATTGAATTTCTCACCACAATAAAGGCATAGGTTGTTGGCTCTTCTGTAATCTCGCAGTTGCCGTTCCTTCCAGAGAGTTTGACCAGGGACTTAGCTTAGGATCTACCTTACCAAGTGCTACAGTAGCTTTGCCAGATTTCTCATACTTTTGTTTAGAGTTGTCCAGAATTTGTTGTTGTACTTTGGCTAGCATGATGGCTCTGGCCATAGTGTCAGGCACCTGAGCTTCAACTGCTGCCTTGATATCCCATTTGAGGCCCTCAATATCCAGTGTTGTGCATTGAAAGCTGAAATTGCAGAGCTTAAAAGGTGGTGACATAGTCCTCGTCTGTTCCAGTTTGCTTCAACTCCAACAACTCATTCAGAGCTTCTCTATAGGCATATGCGCCAAACTAAGATTCCACCGCTTGCTTGAATTGAGTCCAAGTTCCCAATCCATTTTGCTGCTTGTACACCTGCCACCATCGAGCTGCATTGCCCTCCATATGTAAGGAGGCCACAGTGACCCACATGGACTCATGAATGTTAAAGATGCAAAAATAGTTTTCACATTTGTCAAGCCAGATTTTAGGATCCACGCCCTCAAACTTTGGAAATAGCATCTCAGGCAGAGGTGTATAGTTGTGGTGTGAATCAACAAAAGGCCTATGGTGACTGGGTTCAGTACGAGGATGAGGCTGGACACTGGAGAAAGGTAGCTCCTGTTGAGGACGAATGGAAAACAGTGGAGATAGAGATCTCGGTGATTTGTCCTCTGTCTCAGCATCCATATGCTCTAAGGTGAGACGAGCAACTGCCTTTCCAGTGTCTTCGATTTGTTTAACCATCAACTGCTGATCATGCGAGGCCTGCTGCACATCTTGTGAGTTGAGATCCATTTTTTCCGGCAATTGCTGTTGCGTGGAGACGATGTCCGTCACACGAGCAAGCAAGAGGTCCAGTCTTTCCATCAACTTGTCCCACTTCGCATCTTGATGCTGCTGGTGTGTTGGTGTTGTAGGTGCCTGGAACTCATTGACGTCATCGTGGTTCACGACATCCAGGACGGGCAGGAAAATGGCATTGATACCTCTCTGTGCTTCCATACCAGTAGCAGCCTTTGTGTGTGCTCCACTTGCAGCAGCGTCCATAGGTAGAATATCAGAACTGAGGTCATCGAGGGAGGCTTTGATAACAGTAGAAGAAGGAAACAATAACGATGATGAACTTGCCCTGGCGATGCTCTTGACCATGGAAACATCAGGCTCACTGGGCACACCATACAGGATATCAAGTGACAACAACCATCATATATATTGCGACCATGCAATTCTCCGAAAGCTTCAACAGCATCATATTTGGATCGGAAAACAACCTGAGCAGACACATGGTCTAACCCCCCAAACGCTTGCACCTGCTCCATATCGCTAAATGGACTAAAAACCTGACGAAGCACATGTTCTGTTACAGGATAGCAAACCTTGTGAATGGTGACCTCCAGGACGCGATTTGGGGGCGTCCAGCTCTAAGAACCGCAAGTAGGCAATCCATCGAACACCTGGTGGGCGTCCACCTCATGGGTGCTGCCCTTGGAAACATCAGGGTCGCCGGGCACACCATAATGGATATTAAGCTGACAACAACTATCATATATATTGCGGCCATGCAACTCTCCGAAAAGCTTCAACAGCGTCATATTTGAATCGGAAAACAACCTGAGCAGGCACATGGCTTAACCCCCCAAACACTTGCACCCGCTCCATATCGCCAAATGGACTAAAAACCTGACGAAACACATGTTCTGTTACAGGATAGCAAGCCTTGTGGACGGTGACCTCTAGGACGTGACTTGGGAGCATCCAGCTCTGAGAACCGCAAGTAGGCAATCCATCGAACACTTGGTGGGCGTCCACCTCATGGGTGTTGCCCTTGGAAACATCAGGCTCGCTGGGCACACCATACTGGATATCAAGCTGACAACAACCATCATATATATTGCGGCCATGCAACTCTCCGAAAGCTTCAATAGCATCATATTTGGATCGGAAAACAACCTCGAGCAGACACATGGTCTAACCCCCCAAACACTTGCACCTGCTCCAGATCGCCAAATGGACTAAAAACCTTTTCTTCATATTTTCCATGAGATGCCTGAAACACTCTCTCTGCTCTGCTCTAGGGGAAACCTTTTTCACAGCTGCTTCTAGCCCTTTGCAAGCATCAGTGCATATAGCCAAGTGGTTCATTGCCCCTAAAGCTTTCCCTAACTGTTCCATGAATCAAGTCCAATTATCCTTGGTCTCTGAATCAAAGAAGCCAAAAGCAATCGGGTACAACCAATTGTGGCCATCTATTGCATTGGCTGCAGGCATGTGGCCATTCCACTCACCATTGAGAGCAGTTGAATCTACACTAATATAGGGGTTGCAGCCATCTCTAAATCCATCTATACTTGCTTTGAAGGCAAAAAAAATCTACTGAAGTGTACCTTGCCTTTCACAGTAACTGTATCTATCTCAACTACACTACCAGGAGACCTAAGCTCAATCTCAGCCTTGAATCTAAATAAATAATCAAAACAATCATCCCACTTACCAAATAATTTATCTGCAGCTCTTTGTCTCCCATAAAATACAGTCTGATATGGAATCTTTATGTTGTACTTCTTCTCTAACTCTTCCTTCATAGCTTTGGGACCCATCTCAGGATTATCCTTCAATAGTGGTATAACCCTCTCAGCAATCCACTTCTAGGATGCCATCCTCCCAAGAACTCTACTCTTTGAAGGACACTTGTGGGTACCCTTATTGATTTGGATCTGCACATACATGAAGAAATGTCAGAAATAGTTAAGATAAATTCATATACAACATGCAAATATCAGAAATAAGGTTACATCAAAAGGATAAAAAAAGTGTTAGTATTGGTACCTTGACATTGCCATCCTTCTGTGTCCTAGCTCTAATTTTCCATGGGCAGCCCTTGGAACTGCAGTAGCCCCTAAACCTCTCATTGTCAGACTTCTCTGTCTCCAATTGAAACTCATTCACAATAGCATGCTGCCTAATTGCCATCCTAAAATCATCCATGTAAGGTACAGTGTCCCAACACTCATGTCAGGATTGTCTCTATCCCAACCAAACATTGTCTCATCTCATAGGTCATCATTAACAGGGATTGCTGCCTCATTCATTTCATCCTCCACATCAGCAGGTATGTTAGGAATAGGAACCTCATCTGCAGGAGCCTCATCTGCTACCTTGAATCCAAAAGCCTCATAGATTTGATCCTCATCTACCACAACATTAGCTTCACCATCACAGTTCTCATCAGCCAATATAGTCAATGTGTTCCAATCAACCATATTTTCTTTAGCTCTACCTTCTTCAGGAGTACTACAAGTGTCACCTAAGCCTTCTACATTCTCTGCATGTCCTGCATTTGTCACACCAGATTGGGCAGCAGTAGTAGAAGACCCACCTTTGTTTGCTCTGCTAACAACATCATTCAGACCAACTGCATCTTTCTCAACAACATCACAGCTAACATGCATTACCTTTTCATCCATCCTAGACATTATCATCTCCTCAAACTGATCACTGCTAGTAACCTTCCACTCTGTTCCATTGTCAATGTCAACACCCCAAATAAGCAGTTGATGACTGCGGCCCCAAATGATCTTGCTGGCCATATCATCTACAAAGCCATTCAGTGTGTACACATTGCTACTGTCAAACCACAGGTCATGTTCTTAAGCATCTAGGTCAACCACTCCATAGTCGTTAACCAAAGTGTATTTATCAACGCTAACATGGATTCTAAAAGCATTGTTAGGATCAATCACAGCGGTGACAAGCAAAACAAACAAATTGGGAGTTAGGACATCCCTCATATACGGATCCCCACATACATGCCATAACAATGAAACATACCACGTGGGCACGGAGACAACACCATCGTGGCTAATGGTTTGCTTACATCCGAATCCTACATCAACACGCCGAAAATTAGGAAACCCTAGCATCGGAATCCTCATTCACAGATGCACTATTCAAGTAACCGACCTTGCGCCGTCCACTCCGCCTGCGTGATTTGGCTCTCTCCGCACCGCCTGCCCGCTCAGGCCGCCACGGGAATGAAAGGGGAGGGACGGGAAAATAGCGAGTGGACTAAACAGATGGGAGGAGACTTCGCTTGTTAAGCAATACGGCGAGGCGTAATGGTCTTTTGCCTTCGGTGAAACAATGGCCTGCTCCCTAAGGGGTCACGATCTACATGCCACGTCGGCAAAAAATGACAAAATATTAGACGAGTTACTATTTTTTAGATATTTTTATACCACCATAAAGTTGGCAATCGTAGGAGCGGCCTCCGTAAGAGTGGCAAATAATTAGATGTCCCGTCAACTGGGAGCCACACACTCCCTCATCCAATAACTTAACGACACGCGTCAGGTTCTTAATAACCTGTGAGAACTCCCGCACGCCGCCGGCGCGCCGTGCTCCCGTCATCTCACGACACTATGCCCGTCCCCAGCCACGCCGCCCGACGTGGTCGCTGTCCACCGCCTCCTCGAGTCCCGCGGCCTTCCCGCCGCCGCACGCCTCGCTGCCGCCTCTGCTTCCTCCTCGCCGCTCCCGCTAGCCGCGGTCCTCCTACACCGCCCGCTGCCCCCGCGCCTCGGCTACTGCCTCCACGCCCGCGCTGCGCGGGCGGGCCTCCTCGCGGACCGCTACCTCGCCAACGCGCTGCTCGCGTTCTACGTGCGCCTCCCGGACCACCTGCACCACGCGCTCAAGGCGTTCGGCGACCTGCCCCGCCGCGACGTCGTTGCGCACTCCTCCGTCCTCCTCGCCGCCTTCCTCCGTGCGGGCGTCCCGCGCCGCGCGCTCCTCCAACTGAGGACCATGGCCTCCGGTGGCTACGGCACTGACGACGACGACGTCGCTCCCAGCGCGCACGCGCTTTCCGCCTCCGCCAAGGCATGCGCGGTGCTGCGCGACCTCCGCGCGGGAGCCTGCGTGCACGGGACCGTCGTCGTGCTGAGCGCGCTCGTGGACATGTACGGTCACTCGGGCGCGCCGGGCGACGCGCGGAGGGCGTTCGAGGAAATGCGCGCCCCGGACGGGATGAGCATTCGTGCGGAACGACTGGTTCCACGAGGCCCTGCGGTGGTCCGGGCTATGGTCGTGACAGATGGGGTTTTGCCGGACGGCTGCACGTTTGGCTCCGTGATGACGGCGCTGGGGAACTTGAAGAGGGCAAGGCAGGGTAGGGAGGCGCATGCGCAGGTTGTCACACGTGGCCTATGTGGGAACGTGATCGTGGAGAGCAGCACACTTGACACGTACGCTAAGTGCGGGATGATGGTGGATGCACGCAAGGTGTTCGACAGGATGAAGGTCCGGAATGCAGTTTCATGGTGCTCCCTGCTTGGGGGGTATTGTCAAAGTGGGATGCACGAGAAGGTTCTCTCATTGTTTCGATAGATGTATATGGAGGAAGATGACTGGTATAGCTTTGGAACTCTTCTGCGGTCTTGCGCTGCTCTGTCTGCAGTGAAGCTACAAGCTAGCCTTCCACTGCCGTTTTATGAGGATGAGAGGCTGCAGAGACGCCATTGCTGAGTCCGCCTCTGGACCTATCCTCCTGGCGCCGCTTACAAGGTTTTTGAGAGGAGCAGTGTCCACAACATGATTACTTGGAATGCCATGATTTGTCTCTGGCCATGGTGACGCCTATCAGCCTGTTCAATGAGATGATTAGGAAGGGGTCCCAGACTACATCAGTTTCATTGGTGTTCTTTTGCCTGTAGTCATACTGGGATGGTTGAGGAAGGAAGGAACTACTTCAACTCAATGCGGACCGCAAGGACTATGGCATCCCCAACGCACTGCAATTGCATTGTTGACCTCCTTAGTAGAGTAGAGCTTCCCTGAAGATCTTGTAAACAAGTCACCATTTAGCGCTTCATCACTGTGGGCAGTTCGGCGACCTGCCCCTAAACCCAGATGTAGCAGTAAGGGTTGCAAAGAAGATGATGGAATTGGAGCCTCAATACCACCTAAGCCGCCTTCTTGAAAATGTGCAGGCGTTGGGCGATGCGGAAAGATGCTGTAGATGTAAGGAGGTTGATGAAATCAAGAAAGGTAAAGAAAGAAGCAGGAACAAGCTAGATTGGTGTAAACAGACTGTACAGGAACAAACTGGATTGGTGTAAAGAAAGCTGGATTGGCGGTGATTCTAGTATCTGAAATAATGCTTATAAGTCATTTCTCAATTATTTGGACGAATTTTAGCAGGTCTTGTTTCAAAAAGACTGTACTTTTATGAGCTGCTATTGCAAATTGACACCAGGTGGCATCTTGAAAATTCAGTCCATCAGTTGATAGAAATCAGGATCGACCTGCTCTGCAAAGATAATCATATCTGCTTTACAGTTACAGCATATGTTAATTTGAGTGCAACCACAGAGCCCTTAGGGGTGGCTGGCCTTGGCCACCATGCAGACAAGGAATCTGTCAAGCAAGCTGTCCACAGCTGTAGGTTTCTGGTAAGTTTGTCTTGTTTTTCACCTGATAGCATAACTAGCTGCAGTCAAATTATTCCTTCAGGATTCAACAGGAATTGCTCCTCTAATATTACTCCAGTTGTGAAGACCTTTTAGGATAGTCTCAAACATGCACATAACTAGCTCCAGTCAATTGTTCCTTCAGGATTCAAGATGACTTGCTCCTATGATATTACTCCAATTGTGAAGACCTTTTAGGATAGTCTCAAAGATGCACATTTTGCTTGATTTTGCATGTACAGTTTATTATTTGTGCTAGAGTTGAGTAAATTTTGCTCCTTGTATTGCCTTATTGTAGACAAGTGAGTAAGTGACTAAAATCATAGATGAATCAGCACTTCTATTGGTTCGTCACTGTGCTATCGAGAAGTAATTGCTTCATCGTTCGAGAATGTGCTATTGGCTGAACATTCAACACAGTGATGGTTTCGTTTGATTTTGCAACGGTGGTGTGATTCGGATGTAAATGTGGGTCAGTACTGTAGTTTTTCTGCTGTATGTTGTTAGGCATTAAGTTTAGATTAAACTATGTAAATGTGGTCGCATTGATCTGTTAGGAAAATCTGGAAAAACATTCGTTTCCATTTTGCAACAAAACAAGGTGCTTTACTCACAAAAACATTCTTCTCTTATGTACGACTGAAGTTCCAATGTTTTTTACTGTTTGTTGAGTGGTCCTGCGATACATGTAGTTTGGTTTAGTTCTACACTTGGCGTGTAGTGTGTTTCAGACTTGATACCAATATAGTATCTGATAATGCAGCATATACACAATGTGTTTTGCATTGTCTATTGTTTCTTCAGTTGTTTGGTCGATGCCTGTCTTCCCTTATACTTTTTGTTTGATTGTTAGCATCAATATGCTGATGTTGTCTGGCAATCCAGTATGAAAATATTTGCATAAGTTCAAAAGTCAAAACTGTGTGGTTGTAGTGCAGTTACACCTGCCAGTCTGCTTTCTAGTTCAATTTGCTTCAAGCTTCTCACGTTATATTTTGTTTTTATCAAATATGTTAGGTTACTCAATCCAAGTTTCTTAATGCTTTTCTGTGGCCCGATATATGATTCCTGTTAGAGTATTTTAAGTTTGTTCCTTTTGAAGACTTGATAATACTTTTAAGCTTTTCCCACTAACCTGATAATATCTTTTGAAGACCCGATAATACCTTAAGTTTCTCACCGTATGTTTCTAGGGGTATACATACCAGAAGTAGTAGTGCCAACTGGCAATAGCCTGCAGAGTTCATTCCTTAAGCCATCTAAAGCAAATCAAGCTTTGAAGATGTCTACAAGTCAAAGGGATTTCTTTCATTGATCGAGATAGCAGCTCCATGAGCACCTTTGTCTTCTTTACATTTCTTGGGTTGAATTTGGATAAGATATGTACTAGCTTCATCCTTATCAACAAAGTTGTGCTATAGTTTCATAGCACCAGCTTGTACAATTAACTTTATTGTTCCATTCATATTGTCATAACAGAATTAGATTAGATCTGTGCTATCTTTTGTTTGGTGCATACTAAATCTTGGTTGTATGATGGCCATTGTAGACTTGACTTTTAATTGTTGCATTTTATGATTGAAATTTCTTATTTTGTATTTTTGCAGAGCCATTCTTCACTTACTGATGATGAGTCTAGGAGTTCTCACTCTTTCATAGCAGAAACCACAAGGCTGCCCGTGCAGTTTATTGTCTTGATGACAAGGTGATGGTGGGGCCAAGTTTATACCCTGTTTGACCTAGTTTTGATGCCTGACTTCTTTTCTTTTTTGAAAGAAAACCGTGGGCAAAGCCCCCTAGCCACAGAATATATTAAAACCAAAACACAGGGCAACAGTTACAAGGGTTAGCCAAAGGCTAACCAAAGGACTTACCTAGAGCTAGGGAAAAAAGAAGATTACAACGTCTGCAGCCAATTCATAATTACAGGGTGTAAAGAGGGGTTCAGCTTGCTTCCAAGAGGCAACCGAAGGAACTTTATGATTGGTAACTAGGTGAATACCCCATTGCTGCGGGAGTTTAGAAAGTGGTATCATAGTTTCTCTAAGAAAAAAAATGGGTAGAATAGATGAAACATATATATATCTTGCAGAATAGCAATAATATTATATAGTTGGAAATACCCCTGCGTTTATTGCTGTATGACTAAAACAAATCACGGAGGGGCTAAAGGTCATCACATGCAATGGATATATATGTGTAGATCATCAAAGGAATGAGCCTCTTACCATGCCTAAGCTTGAATAATAATGTATTTGAATAATCATCCAGACCACAATTCTTTCTCTCCCTATCTTCGCATACTACTCGATCAATAACGGACTACATATGATACTTTTTGTCAGGAGAACCTGCATCCAGAACCCAAGAAGAAAATTCTTAATACCTCTTGCCGCATAATCAAGGCATCCTTCCAAGCAATTGCAAAGCAGCATGTTGGGCAGGTTCTGAACGTAGTTAGAGACACAGGCGATTTCCGGTCGGTGACACAATGAAGCAAGTGCTGTTGGAGACGGTGATTTCCTGGGCGGTGAGCCGGTGACACAATGAAGCAAGTGCTAACGACGTCGTACTAAGCTCTCTACCCTGCGACGACGTCCACTCAAGAAAGCATATGTCGTTCCATTTTATATTGATGTAGAAGGGAGCGTCAGGCCGGTCTATTGGTTACGTCAGTTTTATATTAGTGAATGAGGCGTGGTGGATGCGGAAGTATTAGAAGCCCAATGGATGTCAGGTTCATGTGAAATTAAGTGCCTTTGTTTGGGTGGTGTCGTGGGATTAATTGCAAATCGAACGGATGAACAGAGGAACGAACGTAGAAGTGATGATGCCTGTTGGGCTCCTGCTGCCGAACAGAGGAGGCCGATGGAACGGATATGATGCCTGTTGCCTGTTGGGCTCCTACTTCCGAACAGAGGAGGCTGGTGGCTGGATGCGTGCGCAGGAGGGAACGATGATGTGGAGGGCTGTGGATTGAGAAAAACAGGTCGGGTTTTGCTTTATAAGAGTTTAAGATGTAAGCATTGCGCTCCTTCCAAAATACACCGGGCTGCTATCATGAAGAGCTCCATAAAAGGGGATGACCGGAGGACTGCTTCTATTGAATGATCATCTGAAAAATGTTGCTTTGAACATTCCATTGTATGTGAAGAACAAACTACCTTGTAATGGAAGAGGAGCACTCAAGCTAGAAGGAAAAAAGCCAAATTGCTCGGAGCTTAGTGGTTAGAGCTGGAGAGGGTGACCCATGTTTATCACAAAATGAACTGTGAGAGGGAGTGTTTTATTTTCAAGGGATGGTATGAGGTAAAATATGGAATCCACTAATCAAAAAGTGAGATATGGGTTGTGAGATTATGAACTATAGGAGTACATAATTCCGTAATTTTTCTATTTAGTTTGTGAGAGATGGAATTGACAAAAGGTGAAGAAAAAGACAAAAGGATATGCATGGTGGATTGTTTTGTGCTGACACTTCGTTCTTTCCCTTTGTATTTGTCAATTTCACACGTCATGAAGGAAGTTTGAGTGGCATATAATCGGTTACTCATACTTGCCACACCACATGGCCACCGGTGGTGAGGACCAAGACGCGAGGAAAATGTGGATGCTCTCATTGGTAGGTTCCCCCCGATGAAGATTGTTAGGACGTGAAAGATTCGCCGCCACGGACGCATGAGCAAAAAGGGAAGACTCGGAATCTCTGATTCAATTCTAAATATCTGACATTATCCGTATCCGCAGATAACAAAGTAACCTGTAAAACCATCTATAAATTACCTACGACTAATTAGTAATGTAAGTGATATCAACTTTAATATAACAAATAATATGCAACATTGAAGCTATTTAAAACTTATCTTTGCGGCTAATAATATCATATAATTTATTATTGATAACGATATATAAAGGTTAGTTTTAATATAGCTAATCATCTTGATTTTAAGTACTTTGATTATTCATATATTAATGAAATTATTTTATATATTTTAAATTATTTATTATTGATAAATATTATTTATAGGTCTATTTATTTATGATATATTTAATTTTCAAATATTTATTATATATGTTATTTTTTGAGTTGTCGTTATCTATAGGGTTTATGTAATCATACACTTCTCCTATATTTCAGGTGTCTAAATTTTAAGATGATTCGAGGTAACTCTTGTATCATCAACTGGTACACGTAAATTATTAATTTTATGATTTGTTATTTTTTCTTTATGTCATAACCTATTAAGGGTCTGTTTGGATGATGCGGTTTTCGAAAACTATAATATCCCAAAACTATAATTTTATAAGCCAAATAGACACAAAACCGTGGTTTAGAAAAAAAGAGGTTATCAGTGGAGTTTCTAAAACTCCAAAAGACTACAGTTTTGACAAAATCATGGTTTTAGATACTACAAGATTTGTTGCATCCAAACACCTAGTAGCTTTTAAAACCAAAGTATTTTGTAAAACCACAGTATTTCTTCAATACTTTAAAAATACTTTGCATCCGAATAGGGCCTAAATTTTGTCCTTGTCTGCCGATAGAAATAATTGTTAATCGCTAATTGTCTTTGTGCCAACACAATCAGTTGTCGGGTTCGTGGTAACGGGTTTTTTTATTCTCGGTACCAAAAATTATAGATTACGCCTACAGAAATTGCAATGAAGAAAATCTGTAATTTTAGTATAAAATATATGCAATAATCGTTACCCAAAAGAAAACTAAAATTCAGGCGTCTAAGTTTTAGCAAGTCCCATAATCATATTCTCTACATGCATAATGATTTTGTTCTACTAAAACTATCGACAAGCAAATAGATCTATGTTATCGTCGAAATCTAGTAGATATCTGAATGCTAATCCAAATTTAAGACATTCGATTTGCACTAGTATCCGATAATGTTCGTATTCGTATCTAAATTCAAATTAAAATAATAGTGCTATTTGTATCCGATTCTATGGGGGATCCGATCTAAATCCATCCCTACATATGAGCCTGCATGCATGCAAGCATAGGCACTCAGGCTAAGGTCTTGTTTGGCAGAGCTTCACTTCACTAGTGAAGCTTTTTTTTTTGCTTCAGCTCCACGAACAACTCCACCAGTGGAGCTGAAGCGGTTTTGGTAAACCATTTGGCAAAATGGCTTCCCTGTGATAGCATGTTTTTAGGGGTCTGGAGGAGGAGCCGGGAGAAGCCATTTTTTTTGCTCCATCCCACCCCAAATCACTGTGAGAGCATGTTTTTAGGGGCTTCACCAGTGAAGTTATTTTACTTTACTCCGTTTGGCAAAAAACAACTCCAAACGACTCCTGAAGCCGGTGGAGAAGCCCTGCCAAACGGGGCCTAACGGTGGAATACAATGTCAAAACGGCTTAACAAAACCATCTAGAAAGTCACTTGAACATTATTAGATACTGAGGGTTATAACACCGGAGTTTATAGTTGAGGGGCTTATGTAGTTAACTCTTAATATGCTAGGGTGTTATGTAATTTTTTTTTTACTATTCAATGACTCACCGTCGTGTCATCGTCCATGTAACATGCCACATGATACCTTCAAAACCATCTTAGAGGTTATTTAGACGAGTTTTAGTAGACTTTTCCTATAGTCTTCGTTTGAGCCAAAAACGTCTCATCCAGATAGGCCAAATTATCCAACATCCATCACCAGCGTACCATACGCGCGTTGTGTACCCTGGGGCAGCTGGGCGGAAAAATCTTGGCCAAGTGTTGAGCCGTGCGTGCATGCCAGCGGCCAGCGGCCAGCGGCTGCCAACGCCTGCGAGCCACATGCCCTGGCACCCCTTATCCCATCGTACCCGCCACACGGCGCGCCGCCAGTGGCCCCGCGGATGCGGCCTCATCTCCCCGGCGCGGTTTAGATTTCCCTGGACCCCCACCTCCCTCGCGGCAGCCACTGTCACATACTTTCCGCGCCTCTTCTTCTGTGCCCCTCTCCTCCCAAACTGCGGATAGAGCAGCGGCGCGATCGCCAGCGCACGCACGCACGTTGTCGGAAGCTCAAGTTAGAAGCACCGGTGCCTGATCGATGGCGACTCAGGCTCTCCTCTCCGGGCGGCAGCTGCTGGGCCGCCCCGTGCAGTCGGCCGTCTCCAGGTCGTCGGCGAGGAAGGCGCCCTTCGTCGTCAGGGCCAGCTCCAGCCCTCCAGCCAAGGTCTGCGCCGTACCCTACTAGTAGCTCCGACGATCCGTCCGTCGTCAACCTCATCGATCACAAGTTCGTTCTTGAGAGGACTACTGAGTGCTGACTCGATTGTTTTCGTTTCGCAGCAAGGTGCCGACAGGCAGCTGTGGTTCGCGTCCAAGCAGTCCCTCTCCTACCTCGATGGCACGTACGTACCTGCGCCCTGTGCCCGCCCGCACGCAGCAAACCTTCTACTTCCACATATGCTCACCCGCCTCACTATTGCTGCTGCAGGCTGCCCGGCGACTATGGGTTCGACCCGCTGGGGCTCTCGGACCCGGAGGGCACCGGCGGCTTCATCGAGCCCAAGTGGCTGGCCTACGGCGAGGTGATCAACGGGCGCTTCGCCATGCTGGGCGCGGCGGGCGCCATCGCCCCGGAGGTCTTCGGCAAGCTGGGCATCATCCCGCCGGAGACCGCGCTGCCGTGGTTCAAGACGGGCGTCATCCCGCCCGCGGGCACCTACAACTACTGGGCCGACTCCTACACGCTCTTCGTCTTCAACATGGCGCTCATGGGCTTCGCCGAGCACCGCCGCCTCCAGGACTGGTACAACCCCGGCTCCATGGGCAAGCAGTACTTCCTCGGCCTCGAGAAGTTCCTCGCCGGCTCCGGCGACCCGTCCTACCCCGGCGGGCCCCTCTTCAACCCGCTCGGCTTCGGCAAGACCGAGAAGGAGTTGAATGAGCTCAAGCTCAAGGAGATCAAGAACGGCAGGCTCGCCATGCTCGCCATCCTCGGCTACTTCATCCAGGGGCTCGTCACCGGCGTCGGCCCGTTCCAGAACCTGCTCGACCACCTCGCCGACCCCATCAACAACAACGTGCTCACCAGCCTCAAGTTCCACTAGAACGTTGGTGCATCATATATACCCTGCTGCTGCCTGTTGTTTGTAGTGGAAAGCGAGATGCGCGCGTGTTGTTCATATGCTCTGGCTTGGCTGATGCATGGAAAGGAGCGTGAAACGTTGTATCATGATCCATGCCCAGCCTCCTGCTTGTAACAAGTTAGTATTGATCTTGTTGAGACCAGAAACTGTATTGCACATGACATGGTAAATCAATGTACAATTCCCTCCGACCTCCCTAGACGCGGAAAAAACGTGCATCCTTGGATACTCATGAGAGCATGTGTGCTTAGAGACAAAAATAACATCATCTTTCCTTCCGTTCTATTGTCAATATTTGCCGCCAGTGAAACAGCGAGGTTTCACTATATCAATTCATGGCGCTAATTAATTAACCCACCCAAGTAAAAAAAAAGAGTATATTTGGTTTTAGCAAAATCCTATGTTTTTTTTTTTGGGTCTGAGGAACTATGAACAAGTATAGTTTACTCATAGTACCAAATAGTTAGGGACTGTTTAGTAGAGCTCTCCAGCTAGCTTCTAGCTTGAATCTAGGAAGATGCCAAGCATTTCTTCTAGGTTGAATATAGGAAGATGCCAAATATTTTTTATAGAGTAGTTTTAAAATAAACTAGAAGGTTAGGAGCTCAAAGAAGTAGTTTCTTCTAATTCACTTACGCATATAATCACTTTTGACATACAGTTCATCCTAAAGAATCAATTCTTTCAAATAATCACTTCTCATAGAGAATCAAGCAAGGGAGGATCTCTACCAAACATGCCCTCAAAATCCATGCACTACTACATTAACTATTTTCACCGCTGGTATTTTCACTACTAGTTTTTAAAAACGGGTGGTGATAGTTTTGACCGCTGGTTTGTATTATGAATTAGTGGTGAAAACAGTTATTATTGTCGGTTCGCATTACAAACCGGCGGTGATAACTAAAATGGTATACCGTCGATTTGTTTGCAGGGCCAAAATATCACTCAGACCATAACCCCATCGCACTCTCACAGAGCCACCGCCTCTCCCCTCTAGCCCTCCCTCTTTCTCTCCCCCGCCATCTCACCCATGCTCGCCATCTCTCTCTCTCTCACCTGTCCCTCTGATGCCCATCTCTTGACATCGGCCTCTCACTCCTCCCTCCCCTCTCCCTCTAACTAGCATGGTGCGGTAGTGAGAGATGGCGGAGGTAGCCGAGGGCACGACGGTGTGGCGGCCCTGGCCTAGATCTGCCAGGACCCGTAATCAACAATGAGCAGAACATATGGTGTCTAGCTACGTTCATCCCCCCTTAAGGCATGCGACTATAAGAAATCTCTTACAACTAAAAAGAACAAAAGTATGACAATTTTTTGGTGCGACTTTTTGGGGTCGCTCCTCCCTTCCGGCCGTACGATACCCCGCGCGATAGAAAAAAAAAACTGCCATCCCTGCGATCCCCACCTGCTTTGAAGGAAACAAATCGATCACCTGAGACCACATGCATGGAAGGAAACAATCATGTGGTGCCCCTCTCTCGCTCGGTCAGATATCTTTCATCTCCACGTAAACCGGATCGTCGATCGACGCCAGGCCAACATCGACGCGCCCCTCCTGTCCTTCCCGTGGTGTGCTCTAGCGAATCCACACCACCCCGCAGAAGACGCTGGACACCACAACGCCCCGCCACCGCCGCACGCCAGGCACTCGTCGGCCGGACGCCACAACGCCAATCCAGCCCTCAGACGCCGCCGGAACGCCCCCTCCTCATCCGACAGCCATGCCATCGACGTCGACCGCCGTTGGACGACTACGAAGAGGCCCTCGATGATGCTGCGCTAACAGAAGGCGACTGCAACTGCTTTATCAGGTGCGGTTTATGATTTCATCTTATTCTGGATGATAACTTTTTTCCCCTCAATTTCCTTACTCAGCCAATGATTTCATGATAATCATGAGAAACACTACTATAAGATGATCGCTGCATATTTTAGATTATGCAAATTTTATTTAACCATGTTCCTGTGTGAACGAGGTGCTATTGGAACCTGCTCATATGACTGCATCCTACCTCTCCCTATCCTCACCGTTGCTATTAAGATCTCCTCCGGCGCCGTCCTCCTCTGTGATGCCCTCTCCACCGGGGCGAGGTCCATAGGATCCAGCGGCAACAAGGTTGAGGGAGTCACGTGGTAGCGAGATCCATCAGCAAGCATCTTGGTTCTGGTGTATTATTTGATTTATTTCTCGATACTGCTACGAGGGACTGTACTAAGCCGTGCATTGCTGCAGATGGCTCCTAGTGTATTCTTGTTCGATCCTGCTGGACAAGAAGGCCTGAGTGGCAACAACTCAGGCGACGGAATTGGTTTGCCATCGTGGAAGTTTAGGATCGACGCCGACTTGCTTGACGTAAGTGTAGCCGTCATTGCCCTTTTGTTTCAATTCTCAGACTAATGGTTGTTTGTTAGAGTTCAGCAAATTCAGTTCAGTTGTGCAATAAATTTAGTTTTTCACTATCATCAGTCATCAGATATTCATAATTCGAATCTGAATATAAATAGTATTAGGAGTCTGTATACTTGAAATAGTGTGTAATACATTTTCGTTCAGCATTGATACTCGTCAATCAAGGACTCCACAGCTGGTGGCGGTTGCGGAATAAGTGGTGGCACCAGCTCAGGTGCTCCCCGCGGATGCTAGGGTGAGCTGGATGGGCTGGAGAATCTATATGTCAAGATGTCCATGTGCAGGTGTTTTTACTATTATTGAATTGCATAAACTATTTTTTTGCCAAGAAAATAAAGTTAAGACAATTAGTTGATTGGGATTATCATTTACTCTTTTTTTTCAAACAGTGCTCTTCATTTCGGAGCCCTTCATGCAGTTTAATAATGGCTAGGGAGTCAGGCCTGTAAGAACTTACTCTTAATTGGGTTGCGAGCTAGGGATGTAGCACTTCAATGGGTGTCTTGGTTGAGTTCTACAATTGCCAAAAATTGATGGTGTTGATAAGATTGACAATCTTGTAACTCTGCAGTACCTTTCTTTTTTTCAAAAAAGGAGGGCAAATGCTACTTATGGTCGAATCCATGTTCTTTTTGTTGTTTTGATTTGATGCCCACAACCCACATGTTAACTTTCAGATGTGTTTGTAAAGAATCAAAAGGAGTTGGCCTATTTCCAATCTTTCTTGTCGTCTTTTTCATTCTTTATATTTATATAAATTCTCACCAACAAGTACATGGCTAAATAATGGCTGTAATGCTGCATCCTTTAGCCAATGTGCCCCCTTGAGATCTACTAATTGCTAGCTTATACATATTGTCTTTTTTTGCAGGGTAGAGAGTTGTACAGGAAACATTCAACAGTTTATTTCCAAGCTATATCAGAGACTTTAATTCATGTCTTTTATTTGCATTGAAGAAAACTCATTTGAGGATGAGATCGTTGGCCTAACAGAAATGTTTAAAACACGATATGAATTTTGAAAATTCTATTGTTCTTCCAAGAATCTTACATCTTATACATTCCTTTCATTGCTTGGAGGTATATATTATTCAGATTTCCTTTGCTACTTGATCTGTGCAGTTCTTTTTCCTCTTAGAAAAGAAATCATTGAACTTTATACTTGAGACACAATTGATCAGGCCTCATCAATGAAAGCCTTTCAACCAACAATAATTGATCTAGCAGAGGCACCTAAACCTTTAGTTACGCATACTGCAGTTTAAGTTTCTAACACGAGAGAGAGAGAGAGGGAGAGAGGAGGGAACATAGTGCTATGCAAAGTGAAGTATAGCAAAACTGAATCGTCAGCTTCACACAAGAAAATTAGAGCATGTTGATGAAATTTAAGCAACATTTGTAGCACTAAGAGTGGACACATCTAGATATCAGTTGCAATCTGCATTTTCTATCATATTTGTAGTTTTCTGAAGGGTAGACCTTCAGAACTTTTCACAGCTAATAAGCGGGGCTGGAGCTAGAACAGTAGTGGTAGTTGAAAAGTTTGAAACATCATAGGTCCTAATAGTCATAGATGATTGGACTAAATATGCTTGTTTGAGAACAAAAAAAAATAGAATCTCTAAGTTATGGATTTTTTGCCTATTGGTGGTCCTGTAGATTGTCTTTCCAAGCAACATGGGAAGAGATCTTCATTGATATGCACCAATCCAAGAGCACAGTGTGAGATTTTTATGGTGTAATTCAACAGAATTCAACACAAGATTTTGCAATTTGTTAGTTTCAATAGGATAATTGTTTTTTTGTGTGTGTAAATGTTGCAGCTCCTTTCAGATTATGATGCAGTGGCTTCTGGTGCACCTTAGCTTGTCGAAGAATTTGTGTGGGAGAAAGCTGAAGCAACTACAGTTAAGCCAAAGATATGTCTCAATAGCATGCAGAATGCCAAATTTACTTTTCCTGCACAATTATCGTCGACGTGCCAGGTTACCAGTTGTGCTACAAGTTACTACCACTACCGAAAACAGTCGCTTTACCGTGTGCCACAGGCACTCGGCAAAGCCCAAAAAACACTCGGTAAAGGATATGCCGAGTGTAACACTCGACAAACAGCACACGGCATCTACAGTGCCGGCAAACGGCTATTTGCCGAGTGTTTTCTATCGGGTACTCGGCAAAGACTTTGCCGAGAGCTAAAACCGACACTCGACAAAAAAAAGTAACGTGACGGAGTGGAAACGGTCATGACGTGTTTGCCGAGTGTCAAATCTTAGACACTCGGCAAACCTTCTGTATTATGATCCTCGGATACCAAGGTAATGAATTTTGATTGTGAATCAAATGCTGTTAACTAGATTTCGTATATACTTGGTAAAAGAATTGTTGGGGCAGTACAAAAGGCACAATCCAAATTATTTCATGGATTAACTAAACTTCAGTTAAATTTTTAGCAGATGCAGAGATAGTAAAATGAGAGTTTCTGTCTAATATTTTGGGGCTCTCTGCTATCACTTAGAAAAAAAATCATGTTGTCTCATAGGACAAAAATATATTCTATGATAAAAAAACTATGCATGTGCATGTTCAATACTTAGGTGTACTACATGATGGAGTTAACATGTCGGTTACAACAGTTCATATGGCATTGTCCAAAATTTGGATGGTATTAAATTTAGGATGGGTGCATAGTAGGCCACCTAGCTTTATTCTTGCAACTTCTACCTCTTTATGTGTTAGTTTTTGCCAATGGTATAATTTGTTCGCAAAGCTCAAGCAAGACAATTGGCAAAGATCAAGCAAGACGACTCAATGAGGTTGGCCCTTAATTTTAGTGTTTTCAGCATGCAGACTTGAAATTAAAAAGTGGCTGCTCCTTGAGAACATCAGTGGTGCCAAATAAAAGATGTGCATGTTATACATGGTGAGACTGGTGAACCTTATGTAATTTCCTAAACGAATATTCCCACCATTAGTATATAGGTCTATTCCCCTACGTTTCTTCGTGCTCCCGTTAGCATATAATATGAAAGTATTGTTGTGTTCATCACGACTTCCAGTTGACTACTCCCATTAGCATATACTTCCTCTGCCTCAAAATATAAGTCGTTATGGGATACGTGCAGGTTAAACTTTCTCAACTTTGACTAGGTTTGTAAAAAATACATGCAACATTTATATCTCCAAATAAGTTTATTATGAAAATATATTCAATGTTCTATGTAATGATACTAATTATGTATTATAAATATTAATATTCTTTTATATATAATTGGTCGAAGTTAAAAAAAAGTTAACTTCTCAGGAAGCGAGAATGAATTCTATTTTGTGACAGAGGGAGTATATGAAAGCAGTGTTGAAAATATTTTAACAATCAAGTTCGTCTCTGTCTGATTGGTAAGCTTAGACATCATAATGGCATCATAAATTTCGACTCTCATGGACACCATCATGGATCAGTGCAAAGCATCCCAATCCTACAGTATACACAAATGGCAACCTTAAAGTTATGATATTTTCAAATGGTGGACAATAAAGACCATCTTAGACGTTCTGGCATTAGAGTATATACGTGTAGACACATAGGCATGGTGGTGCAAGTGAGCAGCCAGCAGGAGTCGAGAGTAAGGGGGTGTTTGGATCCCAGGACTAAACTTTAGTCCCTGTCACATTGAATTTTTAAATATCAATTAGGAGGACTAAACATGAGCTAATTATAAAACTAATTACATAAGTTGTGGCTAATTCACTTGCGCCTTGTACATGATGGTATGGAGATGTGGTGAAACTTATTCGTGGATTTATTGGTACACGAAAGAAATGGATATCGGAAATCTCTTCCTACCGGTATAAAAAATGATCTTAGCCGCATCACGGAAAGATCTACACAATAGAGTTTGTGAGCCTGCGACGCCACACTCTCTGTGACTGTATAAATTTCACGAACTTAGCTTTTTGGATTAAATGTCACTTTAACGTCGGTCATATACTTTTACAGTATTGTTATCTTATCGTGCGATCCGTGTGTTTTTAGTACAAAAGTTTAGCTGTTCCGTAGCAACGCACGGGCACGAACCTATTTGCATATATACTCAAACCTGTTTGTACATGATTATATGGAGATGCAGCGGAACATATTCATGGATTTATTGGCGCATGAAAGAAATGAATATCGTAGAATTCTTTTTGCCGATATAAAATATTATCTTAGCCGTATCACGAAAAAGTCTATACAGTAGAGTTTGTGAGCCTGCAACGTCGCGCTCTCCGTGACTGTGTTAATTTCACGAACTTTGCTTTTTGAATTAAATGTCACTTTGACGTCGGTATTTAATTTAACAGTATTGTTATCTTATCGTGCGATCCGTGTATACAAAAGATTTAGTTGTCCCGTAGCAACGCACGGGCACGCTACCTAATAAGAACATATATGGATCAAATCTCAATCTCATATCTACTAGTTGGATGTAAAAATTTAGACGCAACCATTAGAATTTATATATCAAAATTGGGACGCTGCCTATAGGCAGCCCACCATGGGTCTGCCTTGCCTCCAAGCCTAGCCCACCATAGGTCTGTCTCTGAGCTCAATGCACCATGGGTCTGCCTTTGAGCCTAGCCACCCTTGGGTCTGCCTCACCCAGCCCGCTATCGCCAAAGCCTCGCAGCTACGAAAACTTTCGGGTGTGATTGGAAGCCTGGACAACTTTTCTCATATCATCTCGAGTGAGCCTGGCCCGGGTAGGCCCGGTTGGATAGGTGCATAATCTTATTTTCATGAAGTGATTGGTAGACAGTACAAGCTCATCTCACCCATCTCAATCCTTTGATTGGTAGCATGCACAGAATTAGTGCGCTTACATTGCATCAGAGGCATGCTAAAGTTACCCACCACTTTTTCTTTTTTGTCTTCCTTTCCCTGTTGGGTTTCTCATTGTCCCTAGCATGCGGGAAATGGTGTGAGGTGATGGAATGGCTTGTATGGTCTCATGTGCGCACACCCACAGTCTTGCTCCGAGAAAACAGAGTCAATTTGCGTTTTTCACGAGCCAGGTCCAGAGGCTTTTGATGCATCGCTCGGGACAGGCTCCAGGAGATGCGCAAGCTACCAATCACGACAAAAAGTGAAAGATGATGCATTAACGGATGTTGCGCCGAGTAGATAGGAACGCCCAATCACGCCCTTCATATATCCGATACTCCTTCACATTCCACCTCCCCTTCTCTGCCATCCCTTAGCCTCCGCCATGGTCAGGTTTTACAAACCATCTTCCTACACATGTGAGCCTTCCCTTTGATCATGTGGGGGGTATGACCCCGGATACCCACGGTAGACCACATGGGATGTGCCCCCAGGGGTGGCCTAGCCCACAAGATGAAGCCTTGCGAGGCACGGCGCTGCTCGACATCTCCCGCAAGACACCGGGAAGATATCCTGAAGATACTACGAGATCAGTTAGGATACATATGATCCCATGATTCCTGTAATCTGTTATTACTTTTCGGTTATCTCATAGATCTAACCGACTTGTAACCCTACCCCCCGGACTATATAAGGTGGGTAGGGACCCCCTCCAAACTCACGCAATATCATACGATAACCAATACAATCCAATAGACCATAGGAGTAGGGTATTACGTCATACTGATGGCCTGAACCTATCTAACTCATGTGTCTCTGTTGCCTTCTTGTTCTTGATTACACGCCTCTTTGTCGATCAATCTACCTTCGTGGGATACCCCTCGGAGGACTGCCGATGATATTCTGTCGACAGTTGGCGCGCCAGGTTGGGGTGTGCATGTTGTTTCTATATCGAATAAGATGGTATGTTCCGCAGGCTCTTCATCCCTCCCGCAGCCCGGCCAGATCTTCATGGTCGGATCGATCTCGTGGATCATCAACGCTGATGGAGTCGAGAGCTCATCGAGCCAGTGCAGATCGATTCTGCGTCGATCACC